CAGCAGTAGAACATTATCACTCTTATTTATCCGTTATTCTCGCGCAACTGCCCAAGGCATTAGAATACTGTTTGGATGGACTCCAAGATCAAACTAGCCCTTTGCAATTCGTTAAGGCCCAGAAAAATTTGAAATAAAAGATTGTTAACGATTACAGTGGGCCATACTTTTGGGGTATTGTAGTTGCAACGGAGTGATTTCGAAATTGCAAAAATACTAAAACTGAATAGTATTAGTATAATAGTAGATACTAAGGATTACTTTTTTTTTCAACAAAGGCTGAACACCCATTTGCGTCGAAATTGGAATTGGAGTAAAACATGCAATTACCAGAATTTTTTCATCTTTGTTCAAAGGAAGCGCCTTTGTTCGACCTTTCAAGGCCATATCCAGGTCAATCTTTTCGAACTCCTCCGTCAAGTAATGGTTTTCAAAATCCTCACGATAATTGAACTTGAAAGTGAATAAAGCAGTCTGTAACAAACGTATGGACCAAATGAAACCGGAAGGATGACTGATCCCACCGAAACGAATGGCCAGAATAACGTCAACGGAATGAATATCCATTTGATTACTGTTTGCATCGTTTCAAACATGTTGATATAGCCACGCACCACATTAAGAAGGCTTTTCTTGAGTTGCTGAGAGCAGGGTTGAAATCAAACACACAAAAACCATAATTTATGAAAAAAATGCATTTAATGAAGTAAATGTTGAATTTAAAGAGAAATAGTGGGTATGTAGAAGGTTTTGTTAGTTGGGGCAATAATCTCATTTGCATTGTTTTTTTAGGTAAAATTCCGTACAAATTATCATTTCTTGAAATTCCAAGAAACAGACTTATAGGATATTTTCCTCATCGCAGATGATCGATAGAAAGAGCATTTAATCTGCAGAGTGTTCCCATTTTCCTAACTTGTTATAGATCCTCGAACAATCTGCAACGTCTTGAAGCTCCATCAAAAGCCTACTTTGTGAACAGTCAGATCTTCAGCTCCCTCTCCAGCAGTTTCATAATGAACTTTCATGTGCCGTATATCCGAAATTTCTTTTTTCACAGCTTTTGCACCTTTGATAACCTAAACAGAAGGCTTTTTTATTTTTCTGAAAGGTATAAGAACTGAATTAGAATTTTTTTAACCTTTTTGGCAGTTTCGATATGAAAGAAGAGGGCGTCCTCAGCAGTTTCAGTTCCCACAGACAATGCCTTCTTCATTAGAAAAAAGT